TTTATCACTAGTTATTAAAATTTTTGATATTGTATTTACTATCAGAAATAAAATTTTTTGAAAGATATTAATAAACCAATTAAAATATTTATTTTAAATTTTAACAGGCTACTCTTTAAACTCTTTTAAATTTAACTTTGCTTTGTGTTATGTCTTCAAATCTTTCAACTCAAACTCCGTTCACTTCTAAGATAGATATGTCATCAAAGTTTCAGCCTTGTAAGTCCGACGACAATGCATTTTANTGCTTTCAGTCGAAAATGTCTGAAATTTTTCAGTGAGGTTTGTGTATTAGGAGAATTGATACTATTAAACTTTGGTGGTTAAAGGTTGACAAAGGTGGAGATAAAGGGGGTCGTGTCAGAGTTTTGAGTTTATCACTAGTTATTAAAATTTTTGATATTGTATTTACTATCAGAAATAAAATTTTTTGAAAGATATTAATAAACCAATTAAAATATTTATTTTAAATTTTAACAGGCTACTCTTTAAACTCTTTTAAATTTAACTTTGCTTTGTGTTATGTCTTCAAATCTTTCAACTCAAACTCCGTTCACTTCTAAGATAGATATGTCATCAAAGTTTCAGCCTTGTAAGTCCGACGACAATGCATTTTAATGGTGCTTTGGAGGTAGCCCACCCCACCAGTTACACTTCGAAACCCGTGAAACATAACCAAATGTGCAATTTAAAAAGCTCGTGTGTAAATCGTAGTGAGATATATGGTGGGCAGGCCCCATCCCCACCATCCTCCGTTTCCAATTACGAAAAACGTGTCAAATAGAAACGTTTAAAAAATATATTAAAATTATTCTTTGGACAAATCCTAAATTGAACTCATGTGTTGCGATTAAAAGTCCGTTACCATGGCAACTGATCAGTTTGTTTTGAGTCGTTTAAAAAGAATACATCCGCGTATACTGTATAATTTACCATTTTTCGTGATTCTTTAGAGAGAAAACGGATCAGATAGAAGCTTAATTTTTTTTTTAAAATAAATTTCATAGGTTTATATATAATATAATTTGTGATATTATTATGAATATTATTATTATCACTACTATAAGAAAGGAAATATTTCATTCATCTTTTTCAATTGAAGTGTGAGAAATTATTTTGGTAGTTAGAAAACGTTTATAGGAAAAGTTTATATATCAGGCACTAGATGGCAATATGTAGATGGTCTCTTGTTTTGCGGGATCGGAATATTCTATAGATTTAATAAAATGAGTTTATAGAAATGTTTTGTCTCTTACTCAGTTATTTATTATTAAGAAATATATAATTCTGATGAAATTTGCTTACTGTTTACGATTAAGATTATAAGACTTTTTTTAGTGTGAAAAAAAATTCAAATTATAATTATTAATTGTTTTAATTCGTTCAAGTTCTCAATTACTCGTACACGTGGCTATCGAGAGGGAGAAGTTGGGAGTTTTCCCCGGGCACGAAGAAAACTTAGGAGTTCCGCAATGGTTTCTACGTGTAAAAATGAATGCTATTTTACTAATAAAATTAAAATCGTTAAGACTGCTTTTTATTAATAAAATAAAAGTCAGTTTCTACGTATTTAATTTGTTTTAAAAGAGACCATCTTTACTCCGTGCTCCGTACAGTCCTGCCTACTCTTATATATATTTATGCTGTTATTATTAATATTAATTAAAATTTAAGGAAAAATGTTAAAGTTTCGTTTCTTTTTTATTTGATGAGTTTATTATTTTTGCTTCATTTGGCTTTAAATTCAGTAATAATGGAAGGATCAGTAACGCAACGATAATTAATGTAATTGATTTGAAATATTTTCATTTATATCCATATACTGTAAATACAAAAACTTTATTTTTTAGTGTAATTTAATAATTTTTATATATTTACTTTAAATTCAAAAATGAAACATAACATTCAAGTGCTTTCACAATTTCAGGAATAAACTGTTAAGACAAAGGTTGAAGATAAAGAATAACAAGTTTCCTAATAAAAATAATTTGTTAATAAAAATCTAAAAGGTTAAAAATTTTCTTCAAATAATAATGAATAAAATTTTTAACTTTCAATTACAAAGTACTAATCAGGCACTTGCATTTAAAAATATTTTTTTGTTTTTTTTTTCTATTCTGAAGTTTTTACAATCCCTCTTACTGTCTAATTAGTGCTTTCCAAGCAATTATAATAGATTGTGCTGTCTTTATAAATTTTTTTTTTATTGATTCCTACAATAACATAGAAGCAGATATGAATAACAATATAATAACCAGATGGAAGATGCTGAATCTGATTAACTATGAAAATAATTATTTTGAAAGTGTTATAAATAAATGACTTCCAATAATAATGCCATAAATTATTCTCTTTCGGATATCAATAATCATTAGATCATATACTGTATGTATTAACTTCATAGGTGTAGTTAATATTCATACTGTGTTTGAGTTAAAATAAATGTTGACTGCATAAAAAGAATATATAAAAAACAATATAAATTGAAGATTTTAATTAAAACTTAACTTTGTTATCATCTAGTGATTAAAAACATGAACTTTACTTTCGGGGCTCTGTTATAGCTTACTGTATATAGCAGAGTGAAGGTATGATAATTGGTCAAAAAATGATCCACAAACATTTTTAAACTTTTGGATTTGGAGACCTTGAAATGTCGAGAAATGCAAAAAGTTCAGGAGTTATTTTTTCTGTACGTATGGATGTTAGTGTCTGTGTATGTAGACCTATATAGTACGATTTATTCACCCACTTTGAAGATTAATAACTCCTGTGCTTTCAGTCGAAAATGTCTGAAATTTTTCAGTGAGGTTTGTGTATTAGGAGAATTGATACTATTAAACTTTGGTGGTTAAAGGTTGACAAAGGAGGAGATAAAGGGGGTCGTGTCATATCTCGAGTAGAATTGGACTTAATGACGATTTTACTTGTTATTAACATTTACAATTTCTTTCTTTCTTTTTTTATAAAACTCATCCCTGCCCTCAAAATTGAGCTTTTTGCCATTTTATAATAATTAAAAAAGTAAAAAGTTTTTAAATAAAATATCATAACAGATGGTGCCACATGCAGTTTTAAATGTTGCTGGGAAAGGTAAGCAACTCATTCCTGGAATTTTTAATTATGAGATACTAGTATTATGATTCAGTAGATATTTGTTAGATTTTAACAAAAATTTGCATGAAAACATTTAAAAAATGATAGGAAAGCAGTTATACTTCATTATTTAATAGGTTGAAATGCATTTTTAGTCATATTATTTTTTAATTTTTTTATCACTAGATGGTGACTCAATTTTAATATAGAGTTTGTAATTTTTCAACAGATTTCATTTAAATCAGTTGAAAAATTACAAAAGTAGTTAATTTCTAAATTTGAGTAATATTTTATGCTGATTTTACCATTATCTTTTCAATAAATTTTTCAATTGATCTTTGTTTCAGAGTTGTTTTGTTTTCTTTAATCATTTCTTTGGGTATTGTCATGAATATTTCATAAGTTTCTCTTCTATTTTTTTCAGAAGACTCTGATTTTGAAATCACCTCTTCTTGAATTGTTTTTATATACTCATATTACTTCAGATTTTAACTTTTATTTTCTCTCATGACATCTTCATTCTCATTCAAGTTTGCATATTTTTTTAGCACATAATATTAAAAATTAAAAAGTGCAACATTTTATTAAAGATTAAATATGATGAATGTCCCAAAATTAAGGTACAATCTTTTTAACAACTTTATAACAATTTACATTAAAAAATTAAATTAGCCATTTGAAAGTACACAGTCTAAGCTATTCTACTTAGTTGCCATTCTTTTCTAAATACTTTTCATGTAGGATATTAGGGCAAAAATTCCTTTCTGAAAAATTCTGCATTTAATGATTTGAACAAGTCCCTGACTGCATTTTTAACTTTATCATTATCTGAGAAGTGTAAACCACCGATATGTGTCTTGAGAAGTAAAAAAAAACTAAAAACCAGAAGATGCTAAGTTTGTACCATGCACAGAATGGTATGCCTGTTGGATGATGATGCAACTTCCTATACTGCATACCAGAATTCAGATTGGCTGAAGAAGTATGGATGAGAAATAGTGGACCATCCTATGGATAGTTCAGACTTGGCATTCTCTGATTTTTAGATTTTTGGACTTTTCAAGAAACATTTTGATAGCTTACACTTTTCAGATGATGAAGTTAAAAATGCAGTCATAGACTTGTTCAAATCATTAAGTGCAGAATTTTTCAAAAAGGAATTTTTTCCTGTCTCCCACTGGGAAAAGCTTAGAAAAGAATGGCCACTATGTAGGAAAACAACTTTCAAATGGCTAATTTAATTTTTTAATGAAATTTATTATTAAGTTGTTATAAAAGGTTGTATCTTACTTTTGGGACATGCTTCATACTTGATAGTTATTTGAAAATTTTTAATATTTTTATAAAAAATTAATTTTTTATGAATAGAATATTCATTATAAATATGCTTTACACATAAATGAGTATTTTTATTTTTAAATATAATTTTAGTTCAGTATTTTTTTAATAGTCATTTGATCTATAATATTATTGTATTAAATATAAATATAATAAAAAACCTTTTAGATAAATTTACAATAATAGAATTCATCATTTTATTTTATATTTTAAAATATGCTGCTCTGTTTTCAAAATAGTAAAATTTTTTAATGAAATAAATCTCATTAGTTAGAATAAGTAATTAAAATTAATATATTTGTGATACTGTTTTACATTTTTACGTATAATAAAATATATAAATAAACTAATATTTGTTTTAATTTTAAACAGGTATTTTACCCACCAAAGAATCAAGAAATCTTCAGAATTACTAAATTATAAAGTTTATTATAGTTTTATTTATTATCAGTCTGATTGATCGATAAAAGAATTGATTAAATAAATTTTCAGTGAATTAATAATTTATAACTTTATTGAATTGAATAGTAAAGATATTTATTAATTAATAATTTTGATTATTTTAGTAATCTAGCAGTTAAGGCAGTGATATCACAATACCAAACTGGACGACACCCGCTGGAGAAACCAACCTGTTCCGTCCATTCAGTCATCCACACTGAGACCAAATCGTTCCTCTATGCCTGCTTCTGTTCCACATTTGACAGCTGGACCAGGAATAATGCCTCATGTGCATTCTAATCCACCTGATGGAAGATTATTAGATCATGGGTCAGTATTATTAAATATATATTTAATTCAGTTTTTTAACAAAATTAATTTTTTGTATAATATAAAAATTTATTGTTACATAACGATGAATGCGAAAATAGGCTTGTAATTTTATTCATTTCATATATTATTTCATTAAAACCTCAATTAAAATAGTGTTTAAAAGTGATCTAAATTTTTGTTTTTAATAATATATTATATCTCTTTTAGCATTTTATTATTTAATTCATCCTCCTACCATTAATATCCAGAACAAACATCAATCTAAAAATAATCTTTATAACTGGAAAATTAGTATTCTTTAGTCTATTTTGCAGTAACTAATTTCTATGAATATTCTCATAATTTTTCTTATGTATATAACTTCTGAATTTTTCATCTTTTATTTTTCAAACCATTGACTAATTCAAATGTCTTTTTAACAGTTTCATGTACTTGACAATTCAGTTTATCCAAAAAATTCTCAATTGGATTGACATCTGAATTTTAGGTTGATCTAACTTTTAGACATTTATATTCTTCAAACTAATCCATCAGAACTCAAATAGCTACTAACTTTGATCAAAATGATTAATGGCTTTTGAATGGTTGCACATCTATGGTAACCAAAATTGCAAATTATGGTAACCCTTCTCCAAAATTTATTTTATTCTGTGATAACAACAACTAGTATACAAAATGAAGTACAAAAATTGGATTATAAGTTTTTCAGCATTTTTACTATTCTACTTTTATTTATGAATCACATAACTAAATATTGACTTTATAATTTGTAGAGTCATTGAAATATAGTATATATTGACTGATTACTGATGTAACAATCTATTATTACTTCATATTGAAAATTGAGAATATAAGACTGTTCTGTCATAATTCTCTTGACAATTATCTTTTGCTTCTTGCATTCTCAATCACATTATCATCTTTGTTCACATTCATAGTTGTTTAATATGTGATTTATTGATGAAGAGAAATCTGGATATTATGGTGAGATTGTATATATGATATATTAAAAGTAAAGGAACATGTAGAAAATGTTACACAAATTATGGATTGTGAGATATACAGCACTAAGAACACTGTCTTTTCAGTGTTATCCATGTTTAATAATGAAATGTTTTTGCAAGTACTTTCAACCTTTTCAAAACATTCAAAACTTGCAAAAACATTTCTTTTTATCATTAAACACAGATAATGCTGAAAAGACAGTGCTCTCAGTGCTATATATCTCATGAACATTTCAGCGTGGTGAAAAAGTTTTTCGTTTTATGGATCATGACATCCCAAGGAGATTTTAGAAAAATTTCAAACCTAATAATATGATATAGAAGCAGAAAAAGTTACTATTGGATAATTAGAATTAAAAATACTAAAATATATAATTGGATTCGTCATCAAATTTCTGTTTAAAATGATGGGATCATTAATAAAAAAAACTGTTTGTAAGAACATTGTTTTAGAATAAATGAATTATTTTCTTAAATGTATGACATTTAATGCAATTTAACTATTTTATATTAAGAAAGTAAGGTATTTTTTATCTCAACTTATTAGTTTGAACTTTGATTTGATAATCTTTTATTAAATTACTTATTGTGGCTGACAAGCAATGCAACATGCTAAACTGTGTAGCATGTTGTGTTGCAAGCAATCATGTCACTGCTTTGCATCATAAGTTCTCTCTTTTTAAAAAGTTGTGCAAGGCCTAATCACATGTTTTAAAAGTTAAACTGTAAGAAAAGTATTGGCTAAAATTATGCTATCAAAAATTCAAATTTTAAAACGTTTACAACTTTACAACTAAAAAGAAACTTTCTTACATTAAAAGAAACACAATTAATCTTAAGAGAGCTGAAAAACTTAACACTTGTATTGAAAAACAAACTCACCTAATTAAATTTAAAACTAAGTTTTTTAATTTAATAATAATGAAAAAAGCAAAAACAAATTGTTCTTATGTTTACAAAGGGTGCCTTCTAGTATTGTTTTCATGTTTGCAGTAATGCCTAAGAAAAACTTCCAGATGAAGGCATTCCATCAAAGCATGTAAGGTAGGCAATGCATATGCTGGTAAAAATATTTTTTATTGTCAAATGTGAATTTACCTCAATTTTTGCACTGATACACATAAATTTTGTACTTTAAGCCTGATACAAAGCTAAAAATTTTTAGATTTTCTTGTCTCTTGGAAACAAGGATAGGATTAGGCACTAACTTTATCTATTGTAAAGTTTGTACACACATCTTTTTAAATGCTATTCATCAGGGAAATAGAGTGAGAAATAGGCAGATCTCATTCCTGTCTTAGCTAGTAGGTAGAGGAAGCATACATCACAGGCTGTTACTACAGGTAAAACAGACAATATCTGAAAAACTGAAGAAACAGGTAACAAAAAAACCATCTTTCTTAATTCCAGCAAATCAATTTATTATGACAAAAACATTTTCAATTTAGATTGATAGATCTTAGTCACTTGCTATAAGAATAGAATGAAAATTAGATTAGAATACAAATTACAATATGTGAGCCAGATATAATGTAAAATTCATATTGGGATCACAAGAAAATACAGTAGTTATTTTATTCTGTTTTATTGTAACTCCAATATTTTCCAAAATTTATCTGTAGTAACAAAAAGATGGTTTTTTTTTTTACTACCACAAATAAGTTTGTGTACTAAAACTAACTTGACAGAAAAGCAAATAATTTAGATTGAAAAATTTTAGAAACAATTTTTTATATTTTAAACAATACTAAATATATATAAAGTGCTGTCAGTCTCAAGTAAAGCATTAAAAATAAAAATGTATATTTTATTCTAAATTTATTTTTATTAAACTCTCAATAAGTAAGAAAATTTAATCTAAAAATCTCCTGCATTATAAAACTTACATAGCTACATAATTTAGATAGTTTTATTACTAATAGCATTAAATATACAAAAATAAGTAAATAGGCATTACTTCAATTTTAATTAAATACTATTTAATTTTTACTAATTTAACTATTTGAATTACATAAAATATATTTATTTCTCCATTTTTCTTTTTTCACCAAAGCTACTGACCACTAGGACTAGTATGCAACTTTTAAAGGAGACTTTTTATATGGAGTACTCGATAGAAAAGACACATAGTACAAAACCAAAACAGCCTTGGCTAAAATAGAGCAGTTTAGACAGACAACTACTAAAAATTCTAACTTCCTACCAAGTTACCTGAAAGGCCTTTACTAACACTCAGCACAAAAAAGATGGCATATTAGTCAGAGACATATAATAGAAACCCTAGTATCCTAGCTTGCTATCCAAATGGCACCCATAGCAAGAAAGAAACAATTTTAAACAAGCATCTACCAAAAAGACTGTAATGTAGTACTGTACATAAAAGTTGCCCTTCAACAACCAGTGCAAAAAGATGCTGTTTTAGACAGAACATATACAAGAAAGCCAGAAACTTAGCACAATACCCAAAAGACATCCTCTGACACCCACTCAAATAGATTCTGGTTTCAGTAGACTAGGAATGCTAAGTTCCTAGTCCACTAAAACCAGAATCTCATTTCATATTTCATTACCCAAATTACAAATATAAAAATACATAGTGCATTGATAGCCATACACTGTAATTAGAGACTGTTTTCAGTGGTGCATATACCAGTTTTTCCATCTTGTTACCAAAATGGCATCCATATCCACCAACTGCAAATTTTGATAAGTTTTTGGAGAGCCACATACTAGGAACACTGGGTACTATTACCTGAAAGGAATTATTTGACACCCTGGGAAAAAGAAGTTGATTTAAGTGGGTCACATACTTGTAACATTAGATTCCTAGTACAGTACCTGAAAGGCACTAAATGCCAGCCAACTTCAAAAAGGCCCATTTCAGCTGGCCCACAAGCTAGTAATTTTATAATCTTATGTTACTTAGAAATCCTTTCATGCAAAGATTTAAAAAAAAAAAAAGTTTGTTTTGAACTCTGCAAAATAACACCCCCAAAAAGAACCTTTCTTAGAGACTTCATAAAAACCAAAAGAATATAAGAGTAACAAATCAACACAAGGTATCTAGGAATGGACTTCAAATTTGCATTACACAACAGATGAAACAGCTTGTTCAGTATGACAAAGTGCCACTCTAGCACACAGTAGTGTGTTGCAACACGATAACATTTGTGTCACACTTCAGCAATGATGGGTAATCTAATAAGAGATTGCCATGCAATGAGAACCCATAAAAAACATAATAATAATGAATTAATTAACATATTTGCATATGATTATAAGGAAATATTACAGTTATAGCTTATAAAATTTTATATACAGTATTCCAAAATACATCAAATATAAAATTTTAATTTGTTTTTCTGTTTTATAGTCTAGTAGCAGACCCCGCTACGTGTTGTTGTGGCTCAAAATGTATCTATTATAAATGTATAACACTTCCCCCGTGGGGGGAAAATTTTTCGAAAAATTTCTTCTTAGTGTATATTCTCTTGACGTACCCTATTAAAACGCAATCAAAAACGCAAAAAACCACATTTAAAATAGTATAAATAGAAGTAGAGTTCTTTACAGTAAGCCTTAATCCTAACCATCTCCCTTCAGTGGGGGGAATTTCGACACATATATTATATAAAAACACGTGCGTATTCGAATGCAGCGTTGTGTGAAAATTTCAAAGGAATCGGTAGGAACAAACAAACATTACATTTTTATTTATATAGATAGATAGAAAATGATCTGCTTTAGTTCATTTTCACAGAAAAGCAAACTTAGGGAGTCGTACTCATAGCGCCATCTGTTGGACATAAAAGCCTTAACCTAGATTATATCTTTTATTTTAATTTATATGAATGTTTAACGGAATAATATACAGCCTATGTCCACCCTGAGGTTTCATTCTAAATATTGGTGAAAGAATTTTTGAAATCAGATGAATAGTTTCGGAGATTACCTGCTGCAAACAAACTTACTTACATACATACTTACAAACAT